TGCTGAATAAACCAAGTAAGAATGACATCGCCTCCCCAAGTGATTTTGTTCACAAGGTTTGTACAATCTGTATAAAGTGTCTACAAAAGTGAAGCGAAATCCCTATTGCCACAAAGATCCGCGCATGCCGAACATTGTCCGGTCCCTCGGCTGTAAATTCTAGCCTTAACGCGCGAGAGATGGATGAAAAGTAGGCGTTTGACCACGGTTATCCTTCAAGTACACTGACTTTGCCGTAAATTAAACAGTTCGTACTCGCTGCGACAACACCGCGAAAATAACTCAGGCCATTCGAAAAACCCGAATTCGGTGGTTCGGACTGGATTCTTCTTGTTTGGTCTATCTGCTCAGTATTGCTACTTTGATCTAACGCTGATACGTCGAAGAGGAAAATTCAAAACTTGGCTTAACTTAGTTCGCCAGAACATTGAGGCAATTCCTTGACCTCCAGTATTCGGCAACCATGGCCAAAGTAGTTGTTAAAGTCCCACAGATGCGCTACCGCCAATTCGTACGTTTGGGGGTAAAATTCACGCACGACAATAGCCGTAGAAAGTTCAAGTGGTAAACGTAATGGTGGCATTGAGAGGCAGCCTACTCGTAAACTAGCTAGGTGGTTAGCTCACAGGGTAAGCTTCAACCAAGGGTCTCTAACATTCCTTTCGAAATCCACAGGTCAAACGAATTGAAATTGATAAAATAATGATTCACTTCGACTTGACCTCGTCCTTTCTTCTGGAATCCGCATAAATACACTGTGTAAGAGATGTAATTACCTCTATGACGAAGGATAAAACCTCCTTGAAGAAGAACACACCATTCCATTGAACAGGCTCCATCCAATAACATTTTTATCAGGCTGTGGAGAGGCTTGCTGTCATAGAAGAAGAATAAGGTCAATGGACTCTCCGACATCACGACTAATCATAGGACCGATATGAAAGTTTAAGAACTTCGAATCTTTCAGGAACTACGAATAAGTATTTTGGTGCGGTGGGATGACGAAAATTTTCGAAGGAAATGCTACAAACCTATTCCGTGACGTACGTCACCCTACCACCTTTCAATATCCACGATATAGGAAGGGGCAAAGCAGGAGGAGGAGAAGGAAAGAAACCTACCTTCAAATCAGTCAGTACCCAAGCAAATCCGAAGTTTTTGTGAATCTTCTCAACGATGCGAAGTAGGAATTCTAGAGTGGCAATGTCAGTAGGGAACCGATCGCGAAGGTCCTCGTATTGTACCTTGACAGCGACCCTCTCACCAGAGCGCGTGACTGCCCTATGAACCTGGGCAAGACTTGCCGCAGCAAAGGGTTCGTGATCGAACTCGATAAATAAATCCGATGGTTTACCACCAAAGTCCGCTATAAAAACTCGATCAACCTTCAAAGGCACAATAAGTTTTTTAGTCGTATGAAGGGAGAGGAATTTTGTCAAGTACGTCAGAAATTCTAATGCAAAAACCAGAGAGATTAAGTAAGGCCAACTTATTATTAGATAGTCTATAATTTTTTTTCAGATCCCTCACTACTTAAGTAACTCAATACTTGTAACCGGCATTAAATATAAATACGCGGCTTACATCCGGGAACGCCTAACCTATAAATCCTTATTGAATAACGTTCAGCTGAGCCACAGATGACAGTAGCTGGGAAACTAAGTAGACTTCAACAAAACAAAAAGCCACGAAGCGTCGACTATACGACACTCATGTAGGTACTCGCTGCTACCCTCCGCTGACTAATAGCAAGTCAAACTGGTTAACATTTTAAGTACATCACTTCCGGTCATGCCTCAACCGTAGGCTAGTCTGCAGAGAAAAATGAGATAGCAGGATACGATTGAATTAGTTTAGGTCCTCTGTGATTTATGCTTGAACACTTTGGGAACAAAAAGGGTAAGGCTCACCT